ATTATGTGGCTTAATGTCTACTTTGGTTTAACAATTAGTGTTTGCTTATTGTGTGGCTAAATATAGATAAATCAAACTTTATGCTACAAGTAATAGAGTTAACTATAATGCGATTTTTTGATGCAAGTGATCAAGCTATCTAGAAATATGTCACATGGCTAGAACACATATGGTATATGCGTAGAGGTCATAGCTTGACTAGAATTAATGTGTTCTCTAGTACTGAAAGTCATCACCAAGCAATACACGTGCAAGCTATAAAACTCGGGCTACTATCAAAATCAATAATATTAGAGCCCGTTTAGTTGGAGGATAATTCGTTTTCTGATTCGAATCATGGTTCATGATTCTCTACAGTATTTTCTCTCACAAAAAACATACGTAAATCGAAAATGATTCTAATCTCATGGTTCTGATCCATGAACCAAACGGGCTCTAATGATTATGTCTTTTGGGTGCAATGATTTCAAGAGGTAATTAAGATGTGTGTTTAAATAATTTTAGGATAAGAATCTTGTATGGATAATTGAGCTCCTAAATAGTAAAGACTACTTTTGTATGAAACATAACCGGCCTCGTTATTTCTTTGAAACAACTTTGGTATGAAACATCTTCGACTTTTCTGCAGAATAAAGGGCTATAGTGGAGTTTTTTTTTTTCTTTGACATCGTTTAGTTCATGAATTCAAGTTTTTAATTCGAATTTATATGTGATTTTATGTGAGAGCTTTTCATTGTAGCAGAAAAGTTAGATGTGACTTTTTATGAGTGCTTTTAACTGTAACAAAATTGAAATTAAAAACTCAAATTAGTAAAATAAATGAGGCATTTTTTTTTCCTCAATCTATCCTAGGATTTATTTTGATATTGTCACTCGTTATGTGTGTAAATAAATATACAGGAGTTAATTTCAATTTTCACTCTCATTTTTACTCGTTGTCTCACTTCGTACCCTAACTTTTAAACTGTCACACTAATACCATTCGAACTTTACAAGTTTTGCATTAATGGTCTCAATGACAAGACTGTTACAAAATGGACAAAATATGCGTAGTTTATTGCTAAATTCCACAGGCTAAAGGGCATTATCAATGACGTTTTAACAACTTCAGTCATATCACGTGCGTCTTACATGCTCATTCCATTCATTTTTAACGGTTTTGTCATGGATAAACCGTTAGCGCAACGTTTATAAAGCTTTTGTACCATTAGTGTCACAGTTGAAAATTTGGAGGTAAATGGTAAATATTCTTCGGAGGTTAAAATTGAAATTCTATATATAGAGTATTTTGTACAAATAGTCCTCAACCTTTTTAAAAGGTGATAGTTTGATCCTCAATCTTTTTTTTAACAAAACGACCCCTAACTTATTTAAAAATGTACAATCTCATCTTATTTAAGTCATTTTATTAAAAAAGAAGGTAACGTGATAGGTCACGTGACATGTTCTGTTAAAAATTTAACGCAATTTGATGGAAAGAAATAAACTGTCACTTTTTAAAAAGCTTGAGGACCATTTATGCAAATTGCTCATATATATATATATATATATATATATCGTAATTCAATCTTACAAACTTTTAACACATATTTCTATTACGGCAAAATTAGGAATAGACAACCTGCATGAGATGAGGGAATTAGGGAAAATTGCCTAATTTACCTTTAAAAGTATATGAGTATAAATTTATATCACTTATTATTGATTAATACTTTTTGTTAATATAATTATTTGATTAAAATAAATATTAATTAAAAATAAAAAATAAAAATTTTAATTGATACATTTTTAAAAAATATTTATCTCTTTCTACTAATGACTCGTACATTTTTAAGAAATAATTATCTCTTCCTACTAATGACTCGTACATTTTTAAAGAAATATTTAAGAAATTCTAGAGAAATGGCAAGTCATTATTATTTTAGTTGCCGCCCTTGCGGATATTTCAAAGGTTTCATCTGAAAGCAATTGACGAAAATTTATTATTAAAAAAAAAGGGTAATAATTAGCATGGGGGATAATGGTTTCGTCTCAAAGCAATTGACTGGACCTGCCCCAAAAAGTGCATGCATGGTTCACTTTTATAATTAACTTAATTCGGACTTTAATATTAATTACGTCAGCCATAGTGGGTAGATCATGAAACTCGTAAGGTTGAGTATTAGGGATTGTAAAGAGTTATCACGAGATTCTTAAGGCGGTTCGGTTCGCTGATTTGAATTTTTAATTTAAGTTTAGATGTGATGTTATGTGAGAATTTTTTACTGTAATAAAAAAAATAAATTTGACTGATTCTGAAAACTTTTTACTGTAATAAAACTCGAATTTTAAAATTGAATCAGCGAAAAAATGAGGCCAAGCAAGAATTTCATTATTATTATTATTATTTTGCGTAATGTTGTCTTTTTGTGTATATTCAGCAAAGTAGTGACCAAATTGAACTCACCATAGGTGATCACTATTGATGAATCACCAAAGAAAAATACGGTTTAGGATTTCCTCCCCTGTTTTCATCTATTGGATTTCCTTTTGAAAAGAAAAAGTTAAAAAAAATATATCCACCTAAAGTAAGGAGATGTTTGGTTCATCGATTAGAATCATAGGATTAAAACTATTTTCGATTTACGTGTATTTTTTATGAGAGAAAATACTGTAGCGAACCATGAATCATGATTCGAATCAGGGTACGAATCCCCTTACCAAACACACCCTAAGGGGACGTTTGGTTGGAGGATTCATACCATGATTTGAATCATGGTTCATGGTTCGTTACAGTATTTTCTCTCACAAAAAATACACATAAATAAAAAAATAATTCTAATCTCATGATTCTAATCTATTAATCAAACGTCTCCTAAGTGAACATTTCTAAATATTGGATTTTATCTATAACATATATACAAAGCAAAAGGCGATTACTGTAGTTGCTCACACAATTGTTATACTGTTCAAAGTCTTCGTGAAGTTATTTTGTCATTTTTTTCAGTTACTTGTTGCCTCACAATTAGTTGTGAAATTAACCGGCTACAAGAATTTTGACATTCCGCAATTAAATTTTGTCGCATTATTAAGTGTAATCTCTCAAAGTAGATAATGTTTTATCAATATTATAGTTTTTTTTTTTTATCTAAATTTGAATCCCAAAAGTACAAAGTTAATCCTATTTTCTACGACTTGAGAGCTTTCTATCTACGATAAATTATGGAGACCAATTAGCGGCCAAAAAATTTGGTTGCAGAAAGTTTATGCCACCAAAAAGAAGGCATTTCATGACCAATTTTTATTTTGTTTTGGAATGTGAAAATATTTGTAGTGACCATATGAAATTCAACTAAACGGTTTTTTTCTTTATGTCCTACAACACTTCTATGTCAAATAATTATAGCTCATTTGTTTCGCACATATTGTTTAAATCATAATTTAAATCTTTTTGTATGTTCTTTTTCTTAAAAAAAAAATTGAAGATATATATACAAACCTATTAATCAAATAGGCTATTAAGTGTTAATTTAATTATAAGCTTTGTTTCTTCTTTTTTTTTTTATACCTAATGAATATGATAGTAATATTCCTCCGAGTTTCATACCTCTTTTCTCCTTCTTTTTTTTTTTTTTTTTTTCTAGGTAGTTCTTAGCTTAGCTAGATTTTCCATATGACTAGTCACTCACATTGACACTTAGCGTGTGTTTGTTTGATTGTATTTGAATATTGTATTGTACAATAATTTATTAACACAATATTTAATGTGATTATCGTATTGTATAAATTAATGCGGATAGTAAAATTAATATGGTCTATATCGTATTATTAAATATGTCTCATTTTTAGCGTATTATATTGTATTATTTTTTTAGCGAATCCATGATCTATGTCAGGGTTAGGCACGATTGCGGGTCGGACTCAGTCCGACATAGGGTCATACTGAAACCTATAATTGTTTAGAAATTGTGGGGAGAAATGTAAAAATTACATTTTGACCCTGCATTTTTTGAAAAATTATGTTTTAACCCCAAAATCTATTAAAATTAAAATTTGACCCTAAATTTTTTTGAAAAATTATATTTTGACCCTATAATTTTTAAAAACAATTGTATTCTTACCCCAAACAGAATACATCATAACACTAAATACCGTATTGTATTATGATAGTATAACATAATACAATACACCTTATACAATATAGGGTATTTTACACATTTGTCCCCTGAACTTATATGGTTTTAACAATTTGCCTCTTGAATTTTTAATTTTGGCAAATTACCTCCTCAACTTGTAAAGTTGTTGCAATGCGCCCCATTTTGACAATAATTGTGTTAAATTAGTGTCGAAAAAGCACGTTCGATGAAAAATTTTAATATCCCGATTCAAATGTGATATAAATCTTACAATTTTTCAACTTTTAATCCTTTAAATCTAACAAAAAAATTTGAGCAAATTTAGTAGAATAGGGTATATTGTAACATTTTTATAAGTTTAGGGGGTTCATTATCAAAATTAAAAATTTAAAGAGTAATTTACTAAATCACGATAAGTTCAGAAAGACGGCCTCATTCACTTCACGGATTCGAGTTTTCAATTCGAGCTGAGATGTGACATTTTCTGAGAGCTTTTCACTGTAACAGAAAAAGTTAGATGTGACATTTTCTGAGAACTTTTTACTGTAAAAATCTAAAATTAAAAACTCAAATCGGTAAAATAAACGAGGCGAAATTGTGATGAAAACCCTACAATATAAGCTACCAAACATATGACCCTAATAAACACCGAAAAAATCCCCTTTTCAAGTGATTAATGACCTTTGACTCTTCTGGAAGCAAACAGTTGCGCAATACACACATATTTTAATCAACCAATCGCATGGATCTATGTACATACTTCCAACGGAATGAGTTAACAGCAAAACCACACATAATTCTTATCTGTCGACTTTGGAACTTTCACCGTATAAAAGCCGCACGTACATCATGTATTCAATATATATATATACATCACTTGTCTATTCTCTCTTCTAGAGAGAGAAAGAGGAGAGAGAGAGAGAGAGAGAGTAGTTCTCGGTTCAATTCCCAATGGCTTTGAATTATGATCTTCTTCCAAGTCTTTTGGTTATAATAACTATGAGCTTCTTAGTGAGAGGACAAGCAATAAGTGATTATAAACTGATCGGCCATGAAATCCAAGCTGAGCAAGAAGCAGACAGAGTTGTTGGGCTGCCGGGGCAGCCTTCTTCGGTGAAATTCAAGCATTTTGCAGGCTATGTCACAGTCAATGAAACTCACGGAAGAGCTTTTTTTTATTGGTTCTTTGAAGCCGTAGATAAACCTCAAGACAAACCTCTCGTCTTATGGCTTAATGGAGGTACGAATACTTACTTTCAACACTCTCTAATAATTTAACTTGATTAATAGTAACCTCGTTATTTTTGTTAGTTGTTCCTTCTCACCAAAGGCTGCTATAGTAAAAACTGCAGGGTCAGCCAAAAAAAAAAAAAAAAAGAACACTGAAGGGTCATAATTTTTTATCGCTGAGCACTTGATTATATATTAATTTGTTGATAAGTACTCAAAAATAAAAATAAAAAAGTGAAAACAACTTTTAACTATTTTTTAATTCATTTACAAAAATTATTCTCATTGTTTTCATTTTTATTTTTGTTTTCAAAATATTTACTAAACAAATGTCGTTTCGTTTTTATTTTTACACAAAAAAAATAACTAATACTATAATAATAATAATAATAATAATAATAATACTAAAAGATACTCCTCCTTTAATTAATTATGTTAAATGATTGACGTATAATTTATGAGAAAATGGTCACCATTTTTCTGTCCAATATATAATTGACGTATAATTATGAATGGTCATCATAAAAATTAAAAAACACTAACAAAAATATGAAAGAAATGGTCAGTCAATTGATCACTAACAAGTCCGAGTTAATTAGTCAATGAAGTTATTCGTATAACAAGATTATGTGCGAAAAATCTTTACATATCTTAAGACCCGGAAGCCGTTCCTTCAAAAATAAGATATGGATATTTACAATCAATATGTGGTTGTAGCTGCCTTATCATATAATATAAGGTCCAAATAGTCAACGACCTTATCAGGATCATAGTTTTTTTTTTTTTTTTTTTTTTTTTTTTTTTTTTGTACGAAGGATCAACGTATGGTTGGATTAGCATTATTATAATTTTAATTATAATTTCAAGGATATTTTAATCATATATAAATACACACACTCATTATGCAAATTAGTATTGATTGTTTTTACTTTTTTTTTTTTTCCTTTTAAGGGAAAGGATCATTCTTACGTTTTGGTATCGCCATTTTTATTCTCTACCCTTCCTATAGAATTAAAGAGATCAGACAGCTCATAGAAATTTTGAAACTCAAATGTCCTCTTGTCTTTTCTTTTAGAATTCTTCTCTCTTAATTTATTACGTGGTCCGTTTTGTTCGCTGATTTGAGTTTTTAATTCAAATTGAGATGTGATTTTATGTGAAAGCTTTTTACTGCAGTAAAAAATTTAAATGTGACTATTTTTTAGAGTTTTTTATTGTAATAAAATTTAAATTTTAAATTTAAATCAGTAAAATAAATGAGATATATATATCACGAGTGAAAAATTCGTAGAAAAAATCTTGCTTTCTTTAATGGAGAGCATTGTTGGTGTGTTATTTCTCTGGATAATAAAAGCAGCAGACCAAGCATATATATCATCCCTTTTAGGCACGACACTGCAAACGTACGTAGTTATTGATTACTTGTCCACTTGTTTGTACTGAACCTCACCATGATTTAATCCAATAAATATTTTCACAACACGTGCGATATTTTTTCAGCAATATTAGTATATGGCCCTTTTTTTTTTTTTTTTTTTTTTTGAACTACCAACATTTTTGTGGAGAAGATTTTCTCCATCTTAATCAATAGATTAACGTAATTTTTTTTTATTGAGTTGTAATAGTTATTATTTTAAAAAACAGAGATCGTTTTTAAATATATTATAATAAACGATTGTCATGCACATTTAATGACAGAGTCAGTCTTTTACTTTAGTGGGGTGTACACTAAAAATTTAAAAACCAAAAGAGTAAAGTGAATTAGTGTGGGGCATATAAGAAAATATATTTATCTTAGTGGAGGCATATAAGAAAATATATTTATTTTAGTGGGGGCATATATTATTTTAGTAGAGATTTAAATGTAAAATTTTAAAATTTGTAAAGGTAATATTTTTTTCAAAAAAGTTTCACCCCTACTGAACTGTACTTAAATCTGTCATTATGCACATCTTCATGAATAATTATATGAATAATATTAAAAGACGCATCAATAAATAATTATCATTTTTAATATGAATAATATTATGAACATCTCTTGCTTTTACTATTAATCATAATCATATTAAAAACGACAGTCATAAAGACCTCGTTCACTTTGCGGATTTGATTTTTTAATTCGAATTGAGATGTGACATTTTCTGAGAGTTTTTTATTGTAGTAGAAAAAGTTAGATGTGATATTTTTTGATAACTTTTTACTATAAAAACTTAGAAATGAAAACTCGAATCAGTAAAATTAACGGGGCCAAACTAACTTGAATTTTTCTATGTAGCAAAAGTAAAAGAAAAAAACAGCTGTGATGATGTAAAATGTCAAAAACTCACTCTAAAGATTCTTGAAAAGGAATAGGACAGAATGTGGAGAAAAGGGTTCCGCTAGCTAGTTTGTTGAATTTAAAGATCACCAACACTTTTTCAATGATTACATATGCAGTCCCATAAACCACGCGATACAGAATTTGACATCAAAAAATAATTTGACACTATTATAAAATGTCAATTCTAATGCGTTAAAAAATTATTGCAGTATTATAAACTAGTATTTTTCTTAAACAAAATCGTTGTTATTAGAGAGAACAATTAGGAGACATACATCAGAATGTGAGAAGAAGATGATAAACAAGGTCAATTATACATTATAATATGTATATATTTCAGGAGAATAACAAAAGGTGAATAAGAATATGATTGCCCACCAGAAAAGTTAATTAATTAGAAGGGTTTCAGCTAATAAAATAACTAGAATTGGATTTTTGCTAATGTTAGCTAGTCTCTAAATTATTTGTTTATTTTGATGATTTGGACCTTAAATCTGTTGTTTTCTATTTCATATTAATCTCTCTCTCTCTCTCTTTTCTTTTTTTTAAAATTTTGATCATAACTTTTAAAATTTAGTGAATATAATCACATGTTTATCGCGTGATAACTTAAATCTCATAAAATTAGGTGATATTTGGTATGAGAATTCGTATCATGGTTCAAATTATGGTTCGTAGCTCACTATAATATTTTTTCTCATAAAAAACACACGTAAACCGGGAATGATTCTGAATCATAATTCTGAATTCGTGAACCAAACGTCCATTTAGTCATATAAATTAGGTGAAAAACGTGATGTCCTTGTGTGCCCATAATAGAGATAATCATGTGTCTTTCCCTCCAACCAAACAAATTATTGCGCGGAAATGTTTGAATCATCCACCCTACAATTTCCTATAGTTATACAAATAAAAAATACCTTGTGAATGACATATATATATATATATATATATACACACACACACACTGATATGAATTGTCTCAAATTAATCTCTAAAATTGTAAATTTCAGGCCCAGGTTGTTCATCAATTGGATTTGGAGCAGCAGAAGAACTAGGTCCTTTCTTTCCTCAAAATGGCGGCAAACCTAAGCTAAAGTTCAATCCTTATACATGGAACAATGGTATATATATATATGAAACAATTTCCTTTCAAACATATCCTCTACATTAATTTCTTTATTTTTTTTTTAATTCAAATTGTTCCATCTCACTTTTTCAAAAACCGTAGTAGGTAATTTTTTTATTTTTTTATTTATTTATTTTTTTTTTTTTACAGCTGCTAATTTATTGTTTCTGGAATCGCCTGTTGGAGTTGGGTTTTCTTATACCAATACCAGCAGTGACATTACGAATCTTGGCGATACAATTACTGGTAATTTGGCTGCTAAATTTGAATGTGATCCCAATCCTACCCCATTATTTTTATATGTATTTTTTTTAGTATGTTCTATTAAATTATCTCATGCGCACAACATTTTTTTTTTTTGGTTATATTATAGCCCAGGACTCCTACATTTTTCTAATCAATTGGTTTAGAAGATTCCCACAGTATAAATCTCATGACTTCTACATCGCTGGAGAAAGCTACGCAGGTACATCAGAACAAATAATAATAATAATAATAATAATATGATGATGATGATGTCATGATGTCATGATGATGGTGATGATGGTGATGGTGATGATGATTGCAGTTTATAAGGTGGGTTTGAAACTCGTTTCAAAATAATTTTATTTTTTGTATGAAAATAAAAATGAAAACGTTTTCAATCTCAGACAGAAATTATTTTTAAAAATGCATTTGATAGTTTTATCAAGAGATTATTTTCAGTATAAAAAAATCCATTAATGTCTTTCTTTCTCTCTATGCTCGAGAGAGGAGAAAACGAAAATAAAAAATGAAAAACGACTAAAAGTAATTTTTCATTTCTATATCATTTTACACTAAATCAAAAAATCATTTTCATTTCTGTTTTTTGTTTTTATTGCACCACACGTCGTTTTAAAAACGTTTTTATTTTTTCTTCCTCAAAAAATGTGAAAAAACGGGATCAATTCTAAACACGGTTATAATGTTTCGTTTAATGTTTCACCCTTTAATACAATTAAATGTGATTTTACCTTTAGACTATGTGTGCAACCACTGAAAAGTGTTGTGTTTTTATAATATGATCAACTATCATATAAGCATGATATATGATAGACTGAAGTCATGAAAATAGAGTTATAACATAATTACTATGTAGTGCGCCTCGGTCAGAGACGAAGCTATATAAGGCCCAGGGGGACTTCAGCTTTTTTCTATTTGCAATTATGTACACTTGTTTATATCAAATTCACATATAGGACCCCTTAAAAAAACTAAGGGAGCATTTAGAATTTGATTTAAAATGATTTTATTTTTTTGTATGAAAATGAAAATGAAAACGTTTTCAATCTCAGACATAAATCATTTTTGAAACTGCGTTTAGTAATTTTGTCAAGAAATTATTTTTAGTGTCAAAAAACTCATTAATGTCTCTCTTTCTCTTTCTGTGCTCGAGAGATGAGAAAACGAAAACAAAAAATGAAAAATGACTAAAAGTTATTTTTCATTTCTCTCTCATTTTACACTACCAAAAAATCATTTTCATTTCCGTTTTTTATTTTTATTGCACCAAATGCCGTTTTGCAAACATTTTCATTTTTTCTTTCTCAAAAAACATGAAAAATAAAAACGGAATCAATTCCAAACATGGCCTAAATATTTCATTCCATTTCCCTCAAGATTGCAAATATTAACTTGAGCTAAATAACATATCTAATTACTTAACAAGATCTTCTCTCCTCAATAATAGCTTTGATAGTTTGTTAAAGTAATTCTATTTGATTTTTCTCTCATTTTTTAGTTCTTTTTTTTTTTTTTCCTTTGATGCATATATCCTCTTTTTTTTTTTTTAAAGAGTATACAATAATTTGTTAGGGAGAAATTAACAAAGAGTATACAATAATTTGCATCATAATATTTTTATATATAAAAAATATAGATATTAACAAAGTAATCAATTAGTGATATGTCTATAACATTTTTTTTTTATTTTCGTTTGTCATTCTATTTATGATTATACTTGTTATAATTGCTATGTTTGATAGTGCATATATCTAGAATGAATATTGTTAACAATCAATTGTACAATAGAATAGAGATTAAGAGCCCGTTTAGTTCGCTGATTCGAATTTTTAATTCGAGTTAAGATGTAATTTTATGTGAGATCTTTTTACTGTAGTAAAAAAGTTAGATGTGACTGTTTGCAAGAGCTTTTTATTGTAACAAAACTCGAATTCTAAACTTGAATCGGTGAAATGAACGGAGCCTAAGTATCAGTATTATTGGGATTTGTTAAATTTACCTTTATAAGTTTTCCACTTTTATCTTGCTGATAAAAAAAAATCTAACGACAAAATAGTGAATGAATTACAATTTACTTATGTATTAGTCCTCTGACTAAAATTCCTGGCTTCGTCACTGGCCTCAGTTTCTCATTTTTCACCCCTTCCGGTGTTTAAAATAAGCTGATTTCAATTTGCACATGACTTTCTCAGGGCATTATGTTCCACAACTTTCCGAGGTCATTTTTGACAAAAACAAGCGTGCGCAAAAGAGAAATTACATAAACCTCAAGGGCTTCATGGTAATATTTACTTCATTATTCATTTTGTACCACTATACTTTAACAACATTTAAAAAAAATTTATCCTTCTTCTCTAATAATTTTATCAATATACATCATTTCATGTCACACATAATTACCATCTTGTATCATCACTACAATAGCACCAAAAATATTAAGAAATAGATTAAAAAAAGGTTTTAGCTTCTAACTATGGAAGAGTTAAAATGCCTCGTTCATTTCACCGATTCGAGTTTTCAATTTTAGGTTTCTACAGTTAAAAAACTCTCAGAAAATGTCACGTCTAATTTTTTCTGCTGCAGTTAAAAGCTCTCAGAAATGTCACATCTAATTTTTTCTGTTACAGTTAAAAGCTCTCAAAAAATATCACATCTCAGCTAAAATTGAAAACTCGAATTCGCGAAGCAAATGAGACTAGAGTTGTTTGGTTGGGAGATTCGTACCCCGATTCAAATCATAATTTATGATTCACTACAGTATTTTCTCTCACAAAAAATACACGTAAATCGAAAATTATTATAATCTCATAATTCTAATCCATGAACTAAACATCTCTTAAAATAACATCGTCATCAACTGTTGCTCAAAGTTTTACTCACTAATCATTATATATATAAAATATATACACGATATCACTGCAGATAGGAAACGCATTATTAGACGACGAAACAGATCAGAAAGGAATGATTGATTATGCGTGGGATCATGCAGTGATTTCCGACACTTTATATGAGGGAATTAAGAGCAAATGCAATTTCAGTGATCCAAATCCACCAAATGATTGTGATATTCTGATGAACCAATACTTTGATGTGTACAAGATCATTGACATGTATAGCTTGTATACTCCCACGTGTATCATCAATGGAAATAGCACCGTCACAAGGCAGCAGCAACGCCCAGTTTTCCAACGCTTTGGCACTCCAAAGAATTTGTTTCACAAATATGTAAGTTCATTCTCATGTACATTAAATAGGAAAATTGAATTAATGCTTATTATTGCTTCTAAATTTTGATGATTGTCCAGATAACCAAAATATCATTATGACGCCGCTCTTTCAAAAAAAAAAAAAAAAAAAAAAAAAAAAAAAAAAAAAAAAATTCTAATCTCAATCTTTTTTATAACAACCCACATGTAACATGTTATTTAAGTATTTAATAGATTATCGTGTTAATTAAATTATGCATTTATCAATAAAATAACAATTCACCGACACGCAAATTAGTATCAAAATCGGGATTAGAATTACTGGTGTCTCTGGCACTACTGTTTTCGAAAGGAAGTCTAAATTGTCCAATGATGCATGTTACATGCAATGTTCATGCTAGTGTTGTATTTTACCTAAAATACTTGTGTTGGACACAACTGGTGACTATAGCTAGCAATATCATTATAGCTTGGTAAGAGTGAGTTACTTTAGCAATTTATTTGTCAAAAATATTGGTGATTATCACTCCATGAATTTAGTCGTAATCAGATATATATATATATATATATATATATACACAGTCGTAAGTACTTAAACTTGTAACTACTACTACAGATTGTAGTTGGTAATTTTGTAATGTTTTATAGAGAATATATACGTGTCCCTTAAGAAAATGACTGATCATGAAAATTGATCATAATATTATCAGCAACAGCAAGGATGGCACAAAAGATCAGCAGGATACGACCCATGTGCATCAGAATACACGGCGGTCTATTTAAATAGGCCTGATGTCCAAGCTGCATTGCATGCCAATGTCACCAAAATTCCCTATCCATGGACTCATTGCAGGTATATAAAGGTCCTGTTCAGTTTGCCGATTTGAGTTTAATACATGAATCATGATCATCAATATTATTAACTGGGGTTCCCTTTTTTGTAGTGAAAATATTTCCTTCTGGAAAGATGCACCGGCATCCGTTCTTCCCATAATTAGAAAGCTTGTAACCGGAGGACTCCGCGTTTGGGTTTACAGGTACGTAGTCGGTTGTTTGTCGTTTAAATTAAAAAAAAAAAAAAAATCCTTGTTTGATCAACTTTTAAAGAGAGAAAAAGTGCTAATAAAGGATTTTAGTGTCTAATAAAATAATTCAGGGGACAGAATACTAATAAACAGTAAATATAAACCTCGCGGTGCGTAACAAAATAACTAAAATATGTTTGCCAATTAGTCTAAAATATGTTATACATGTTTTTTAACAGCGGAGATACTGATGGGAGAATTCCAGTTACGGCTACTAGATACACATTGAAAAAGCTTGGATTAGAAATAACTCAAGACTGGACTCCTTGGTACAACAATGAAGAGGTATGATAATGACTTGGGTCTCGTTCAGTTCGCTAATATGAGTTTTTAATTCGAGCTGAGATGTGACTTTATGTGAGATTTTAACTGTAACAGAAAAAATTAAGACGTGATTTTTTTTTTAAAAGCTTTTAACTGTAGCAAAACTGAAATTGAAAACTCGAATTAGTAAATTAAACGAGACTTTGGTCTATAATATTTCATTTTTTTTACTTACTATTTAATTTGTTTTCATATTTATTATTTCAACCTTTTTTAACAACTTAAAAATTTGTATTTTTTTTTTTTTTTGGTTTATATTCAATAGGTTGGAGGTTGGACGGTTGAATACAAGGGGTTAGTTTTTGTGACCATAAGAGGAGCAGGTCATGAAGTTCCCCAATTTGCCCCAAGGCAGGCTCTTCTGCTGATTGAGCACTTTTTGGCCAATAAGAATTTGCCAGCTAAACCATTTTAAAGTCTTTTTTTTTTTTTTTTTTGGTTGGGTGCAAATAAATAGATGAATTAAACGATTCTTCAACAGAATTAAATGAAACTAAAGTATTTTCCTTTTTCCAAAATCATTCCAATTGTAGATCTAAAACCTTTGACACATTGATTTAAAACCAACCACATATAATTGTTAACCCAATCAATTGAAGGTTATCCTGATTCCTGACTATAATATCCATTATAAAGATATAATCCAGATTCTGATTAAGAGATTGGTGAAGATCACAAATTTCAATGATAAAAGCATACATATAAGAGAGATGGGTCCATGTAACAAAAATTTTCATCTAATTAGTACAACTCAGAATACAACAGCTTAACCTATTTTTCGCAATCGAATTTCCATCTAGATTAATGACTAATCACACAATGAACCTTCTTAATGTTACAAGAAATACCTCAAGAGATTGATACAAACAATTGGTGAAAATAATCTAAAATCGCGGGAGCCTAACATCTACGAGTCAGTTACTCAACTGTCAAAAAAGCCGGGACCTGCCCTTGAAAGGAGCTCCTCACCTGCGTCCTTTCCCATCTTCATCATATCCTCAAAGGCATATGGCCCTTTTCTGGATGTCTCAAGCACTAGATAAAGAGAAGAAAAACTAGTTAGTTTAGAAGGGAAATAAGAAAAAGCAGATTACAGAAATATTTCACGACGAATAAATAGGATTTCTTTCTTCGCAACAAGATTTTCGTACCTCGGGTTCCATCAGGAGAAGCCACCAACCCTTTGAATATGCAGTTTCCATCCTCATCTTTGCTGGCATATCCAGCTATAGGAGTGCGGCAAGATCCATCTAATTTCGTGAGAAAGGCTCTCTCACATGCTATTGCTAATCTCGTTTCCTCGTGATTCAATGATGCTATGTAACTAGCCTGCAAGCAAAAACCGGCGAATCATTGAAGAAGAGGACTGTAACGGCATATAGGTGAAAAATGAGCTTTTGCAGACAATATTATGCTCGAGTAAGACATTAAAATCCTTTTGTTGAGCCTGACAAGATAAACATCCCACCGGAAGAATGCTGAGGAACATTCCAATTATCCAAAACTCTTCACACATAAGGATATTTTCCATTCTATGGACTGCTTCAAATTTATCAACCATATATCGGGACATTGCATGACTAAATCAAGTCACGCACATCAGAAAACGGCCATTTTTATTGGACGCTGAATGTTATCAAAGGAAACTATATGTTTTTCCCTAAATTTGTATACAAGACAAAACTGAATTGTAGATTTTAACATATGATCTAACCCAATATGTGCAAGCCAGAGAGGGACAACCAAGTCATTCGCTGAAATATCAAAGGTGCATAGGATGTCCAATAATGCATTTTAATTTCAAAGATCCTCTTCAGAAAAGTGGCTGGTCTCCATCGTTTTCCTGCTGTTTTACCAATTCTACAGAGAACTAAAAAAGCATAACCTGAGGGCATCAGTTCAACAAATATGGAATGCCCTCCGCCAAATATCTTTCTGCTAACGCCAGCATCGTATGCATATTCATACTAGCAAGGCCTTGCATGCAGAATCTCTTGTATCCTAAACCAAAATTGCAGGTCTCAACAAGAAACAAAAAACTAATGGTTCATATGAAGAGTGTTTGAGAGATGTTTTCAACTATCATATGGAAGAACAATTAGTTCAAAGAAACATCTTTTTAGACTTTAATATCCTTAGCTTCTCAAATGATAACTGATAGGAGGACATAAAATGTGTCTCCCATCATTAGTAATGATTATGCATGAAGAGATCATAAATTACTAACTTATAGAAGTATCTGGATCATGAAAAGGCATAATAATTCATATGGAAGAATTTAAAGACCCACCATTTTGTCGTCATCACTCCGACAGGCAATTCCAATGGCTCCTTGTGCAACAGCTGGAAGCATTTCATCTATTGAGAGAATACAAGTCACATTCTCTGTCATATTTAAACGTTTGAGTCCAGCCAATGCCAATAAGGTAGCTTGGACTACCCCCTCATTAAGTTTTCTCAACCGTGTCTGGACGTTGCCCCGAAAATTGTCTTCTACCTGAAAATGAGATCAACAAAAGCATAAACAAGACAGAACAGAAGACATCACCATTTTCAAAAAAAGAAACATTAGACGTGCTTCTGATGCCATTTATTATGAATCTAGAAAAAAGATGTTAAGCAACAATCTCCACAAACAGTAACAATAAATAAATAATCCTGTTGAGAAATATCAAAACAGAGCACGTTTTCATGGACTTAGTGTCCACTGTCTGAAATCCATCACATGCCATCAAATAGTCAAATATAAATTTGGATTGAAACAAAACCAAAATATAAAATTCTACAAGGAATTTACATACTAAATCAATCTCATTAATGCCAACGTGAACTTGAGAATCACGGATAGCTTAAGCTCATCATCCACATCAAAACCTACGTCCACCATTAAATCAAGTGCAAATATAGACGGCAATGTCTGTTCTATAAAAAGTTTGAAAAAATCTCCCTCTTGTCCATGGTTAATCCCATTCGTTTCTGAAGTTTTTTCTACATTTTGTTTCTTCCTCATTTTCCCCCCTTTCTTTCATTTCTTTCAGTTTCTTGGTTATAATGAGTTACGGTATTTTGCCTAAGTAGTAGACACAGGTAATAAATAACATAACACAAGCGATTCAAGCCATAAATTTCTCAATTCTAGCATAAGAGCCTCTCTCTTTTACCTAATTGAAAGTGTTAAAAGAAAAAATGAATCTTGAACCGATCAAGCTGCAAAGACATCAAAGTGTCAACTTGGACCTTTTTGAATATGATTTGCAACTATTTATGAATATCCATACACAAAGGGAGGGAAAATATAAAAAATAAAAAAATAATAAATAATAAATATGTGAGGGGGGCGCCAGAAAGAAAGAAAAATATATACCATTAACACTATATCACAAATATCACTATCAGCTAGCTATTTTCTTGTCACGATCGAAAGCTGTTTCAATTTCAACGACTCCAACTTCTAAAATTCAGGGCTCCAATTTTTTAGTTTTGAAGTAAATATTAAATGAATTCAACTGTCACTACACTTGAACTGTGCAAGTATCCATAATAGCAATGTCTGAGCGTGTTTATGTAGCATGTTTCGCAATATAGTATCTTACCTTGAGTGATGGATATCTATAGAGTATCTGTGACTTCCTTCTAAGTGAAGCAGTACCGACAATGCTCCCAGCTGGGAGCTCAGCCAGTGAAGCTGCGCTTAAGGATATAAATGCATCACGAACATCCTCGCGCGGAAGGTTACATGGTAGAATAGTCTTTTCTGGCAAGTAGGTCGGGACATCTTTCATTGAATGGACAGCAATATCTATGTCGCTATTTATAAGCGCCTCGTCTATTTCTTTAGTAAATAACCCTTTCCCGCCTATGTCCGCGAGGGGCTGACTAAGTATTTTATCACCCGTCGTTTTTATTATCACTATCTCAATAGCTCCCTCTTCAGCAAGTTCTGGATGTGATGCCTTCAATTTATCTCTAGTCTCGTGAGCTTGGGCAAGTGCTAGTGGGCTATCCTATATTTAGAAAATATATTAGTAATTTGCCACAAAATAAAATCATGGACGAATATTCTGGAATAAACTTATATAAAGGATAACATCACAAGCAATATTTAATCCAATGGTTCAACTATCAGTACACAGAAAAGGTTCTACAACCTGTTTCAATTACATTTTATTTCTACCAAGAAAACTCCAAAGGGTCTTCACTCTTAGCAGAAAAAAGTGCAATGAACTACAAAGATATCAGTTTGATGCAATAAACTTTACGTGCAAGTAATTAGAATTACAAAATCTATAGAAATTAACTACCTCTATATAGATAAATGCTCATTTGTTTAAGGGGAAAAAAAAAAAAGAAACAATGGAAAAATACCAAGTAAACTAAACAAAACCCAACTCATTTGATCAATAATGAATCTTACACAAAACAACGAGATCGAAAAGAAAAATGAACTTCAAATGTATAGATTAACTAGAAGTTAAATTCCATAAACACAAAAAACGCAAAAGGACAGTTTATAAGAAGCTAAAAGAGTAAGCCATTAAGCCATTAACTTCTTCGGATAAACCCTTTTAACTCGACAAGTGACAACAATTTCATGAAAAGAGTAATTTCGGCAAAAATGAGGAAATCCCATTTCGATTTGAACACAACCATGTCAAACGAACTAAATAATTGAGAGTAAAATAAAATCAAAAAATAAAAAATGCACCTTCCTCTAGTGCCAATTCTGAGTAGAGCAACTCTACTCTTCTGGGTCTGCTGTTCAACTGCGACTGAGGCTCTCGTGACTCCAATTCCATGTTTTCTGCGAGATGTCGTTTTGAGGCTTGGCAGAGAGAAGCCGAGAACTGAGACCGACCCAGAACTGGAAAAGCTGACCGGAAAACACGGCCGTGCCATTACACAGCCCTGGTTTGTGAGCATCGTAGAAGAAAGAAAGACATCCATTTTGACACTCTCCTCTTTTATTTGGTATAGAGAGAGAGAGGGAGAGAGAGAGAGAGAGATGAAGATGGGGATAGTTTGGCTTCGAAGGAAATCTGCCTTAAACGAACCAAAGTTGAAGTGCGTTTGTTGGATAGATAGGATTGCATTGCAGGGTATGGCGCCTATCCAATACGGTTCTTATCCTACAGTTCGTCTTTGGTACAGACTCTTCAAATTGGGCTTGGGCTTTTGTTTTAGCCCAAAACAGTCGAACCTTGTCAAGGGAGCCCAATTTCCCACGTTAGCACCGGCTTCAAGTATATTGGTCAATTTTTAGAAAATTGGTCAGACTTAAAAATTAATAGGTCAATTTTTAGTTATAGAAATTAATAGGTCATAACTTATCAAGTTATAGTTCATAACCAGATAAGTTATGAACAAATTTATCAAGTTATAATTCATAGCCAGATAAGTTATGGACAAAAACTGTGAATAACTTGTCAAGTTATGGTTCATAACCAGACAAGTTATGAATGAAAACAATAATTTAGCCTATTTATTAACTTATGTAAACTATTAGCTTATTAATTTTAATTCATCTCAAATCTTAACCTATTTTCCTCTTTCTCCCAACAAGGTATTGGACCTAAATTGGTCTTTTTCATTTATTGACAATACATAATGGATAAAATAAATATAAAAGTCCAGCAGGGATATTTTTGTGAAGTTTTTAAATAGTTTGAACTAACTTATAAATATTTAAAAGTCGATGGGTCAAACTATAATTTCTAAAAATAACTTTTAAATTGTAGAAAATTTATAATGGAATAGTTATAACTAAAATTAAAACACTATTTTTTAAATTAATTAACACAAACAACCAGATTAAATTAATTAATTTCAATCAATTTAACCGAGTGTTACATTCCTAGTCTCACATGATGATGGATAAACTGGTTTCGTGCCAACCATACCGCCCATGCTAACACATAAAAAACTTCCAAATCCTATGAGTTGCTACTTGGCTAAAAAGGACACAGAGCACCTCAAAACCACCTGCTTTAAGTTTAGGCCAAAGTGTGCAAACATCTCATACCTGACAAAAGAAGTAAAATACCTAAGTGAAAGAAGTAAAACGGTTTTCTCTCATATTGTTTGGTAGAAGAGAAAGAAAAGTGAAAAAAATATCAAATTTAATGCATTTTACAATAATACCCTAATACAAATAAAAATATGATGAATGGTAAATATTAAAATTGTTATTTTACATCTTATTTTTTTATTAAATTTTTTCCCTCAACTTTTCTTCCTAAAGTTGGAAGGATTAAAAATTAGTGAGCCCCATGAATTTTTATTTTCCTTCCTTTCTCATTTCTTCTCTACCAAACAACCTAAAATTCTATTTTTCTCTACAAAATCATTCATCTATTTTCTTTCCTCTCTCTTTTCCACCTTACCAAACACACTGTTAGGGTCAAAATGCCAAACTCAAATGTTGTGTTTAGAATTGTTCTTATTTTTTATTTTTCACGTTTTTTTTTTAAATGAAAACGATTCCAGAACGGCGTTTGATACAATTAAAAATAAAAAATGAAAATGAAAACTATTTTTTGATTTAGTGTAAAATATGAGAGAAATAGAAAACGACTTTTAGTCATTTTTTATTTTTTATTTTCGTTTTCTCTTCTCTCAAGCACAGAAAGAGAAATTAATGAGTTTTTTATATTAAAAATAATCTCTTAATAAAGCTACTATACGCATTTTTAAAAATAATTTTTATATGAGATTAAAAAAAATTTCATTTCTATTTTTATAAAAAAATAAAATTATTTTAAAATGAATTTTAAACGCATTAAAAAATTTTCACTCGCACTACGACTCAACATGATGTTAAGAATAGGGAGGAAAATATGCCGTATAAGCTCGCGATTCCATTGCCTATTAATTGTCTTCCACTAACCAATCTTCCTACAAGAGGGCTTTTATTTTAATGTACAACTTGCTAATTTATTTATCATTTCAGTGTTTACTCTACTCTAAAATATTATAAATATGTTCTAATGTAAACTTTTATAATTTTTGTAATTGTTTTTTTGATATTTCTATCAATATCGATTTTTTATAATAATAATTATAGTTTTAGAATATTGATATTTAAAATAATTGTAGTTTTAAAATATTAATATTTATACCTATTTTCATCCTTACTCAAAACAAATAAGGTGAAATTTTTATTTCTTCTTTAAAAGGGAGAACAGAAGTAGGAGAAGAAGAAAGAAAGAAAAACAGAATAAATGCTCAGATTTAGTTGAAAAAAAAAAAAAATTCTCTCACCTATACTTATAACATTCAATGCAAAATGCAAACTACCGTACAGATGATTTTTTTTGTGATCTAATACATAAAAATTACAACACTATTAACAATAGTAAAATTTAATTCACAAATTCAGAATCATAATTTAAAATTATTTTTAATTTATGTATATTTTTTAAAAAAAGAATTATGAAACACAAATTATCGTACCAAACACCCTCTTAAAAATCTATTTTCATGTCCCATTTGCTTTTATTTTTGCACCAGAATTGTTCAAATTCATCCATCCTGCCTCCTGGACCCAAAAAAGGAAAAAAAAGAAAGAAAATAGGAAATAAGACAAGCTTAGCACACTATAGGAGTAATCCAGTCCTTCCCGTGCCAGATATTCCCTCAACGGTCCAACTTTTTTACAAGCATTATTTATTTATTTATTTTGGATGAAATTTTGCAACATTATGCCAAAACATTATTATAAAAAAAGGGGTTAATTATTGTCTAATTTACCGAAAAGCCCCTCCTGAAGCCTGTCGCAATCAACCAAGTAAGCGAACCCGTAGGCCAGATTCTTCAAAGCGGCGTCGTGCAGCTCCTCGTTGGCCGTGGCCGTCGCGTCCGTCGAGAAGAAAACCCTAAACCCCTTCACAAACGCCCCACGCGACGTCGTCTCGCAGCAGAGGTTCGTCATCACGCCCGTCACGATCACCTCCTCCACGCGCCGCTCCCTCAGGATCTCCTCGAGGCGCGTGCCCTGGAAAGCGCTGTAGGTGGTCTTCTCCAGAACGACGTCGTCGGGGCGGCGGTCGAGGTCGGGCATGAGCTCGGCCTCCGAGGTGCCGTCAAGGATGAGGTCGCCGTTCCACCACTCGCCGAGCATGCCGTGGTCGGCGGGGGATTTGTGGCAGTGGCGCGTGAAGAAGACGGGTATGGAGGCCCGTCGGCAGAGGCGGATGGTGCAGAGGAGGCTGGGGAGGATGGGTTTGGCCATGGAGGAGAAGTAATTCTGAACGTCGATCACTAAGAGTGCGGCGGATCTACGGTCGGGATTTCTTCGCCTGATCTCGTACTTTTTGTACGAAGAACACTTCACTGGAGAGGAGGCCATTGGACTTTGGACTTTGGAGAATGGAGTGTTATTATGATCGTCTCCGATTGAAATGAAGCTCTACAAAAGGACAATATGCTCTAATAACTTTCTAACAAAATAAAATTAGTAAAAATAATCTTCTTTTATTTTTTATAAAAAAAAATATTTACTCATTTTTTATAAAATAAGATCATTTTATAAATAAAATTTTTTAAGAAATTATTTTACTAATAAAATTTTTTAAAAGAATTATTTTTAAAAAGGACAAATGTCTTTATTATTATTATTGTTATTATTATTATTATTTTTTTTTTTTTTTTTGCTGAGAAAACTCTAGAAATGCTTGATAGAGTAGTGCTATCTGGGTTATTCCAATTTTGTCTTTCTTCTTAATTGACACTTTTGTCCCTGGATTTTGGAAATTATATCACACTTTTGGTTAAAACATCCAAAGAAAGTATATTTAAATTTAAATTTTGTTTCATTATCAAAAATTTTATGAGAGGGAAAATTTTAGGATTTAAATTCTTTACGAGATAAAAAATATTATAATAAAATCATGATTTTTGATTTAAGTATAACGTTCAAACAACTTCAGATATACAACCTAAAACAAGAGAATTGATGAGGTTGCAAACTGGTTATAAATGATAAACGAAAAAAAAAAAAAAAACAAGAGACAAATTATATTGCATTGGATTATATAGATATAAGGATTATTATCATTTGTGGTCTTGAATTTTAAGGTTTTTCTCAGTTTATGTTTTGAATTTTAAAAATTCTCACTTTGTCTCATAAATTTTACATTGTATCTACTTAACCCATTTTATTGTAATTTCTATTAAAAACTGATAGAAAAAAAGAAAGAAATGTAATCATATGGTATTTCTGTTTGACTTTCCGTTAGAAACAAACATATAAGAACCACATAGTAACACTTAACCTCTTTTTTTCTGTCTGATTTTAACAGGAATTGTAACAAAAAAAGTTAAGTGGGAACAATTCAAAATTCAGAGCGTAATGTGAAAATTTTTAAAATTCAGGAGATAAACTGAGAATGATCCTAAAATTTAGAAAGCACCAGTGATAATAATCCTAGATATAATTATTAAGTAGAACTCAATTATTGGATCGTTTATTTTTCTCAAAAAAATTATTGGATCATTTAAAGATGTAAAAACACGAAAGATTGGTGAGATCAAGCTACATGTCATTTACTTTTGGATGCATTTATTGACATTTGTTTTTTACTTTTTCACACATATTTTTAATCCGTCTTCCATTTTATTTGTTACACGGCTTTTGAAATTTTAAAACAATCCCCATAATTAAGTTACTTTTTATTTTATTTTTCTAACCCACATTCTTAAATTATCACTCATTTTACTTATTGTGTGCGCTTCTCCTCTTCAATAGATATTGAATTTTACAAAATTGTAAGACACGGTTAGAAAATAAGCTAAACTCAAAATTACAAAATTCCTTATGTGTCAAGATTCTAAGAGAATGAGCTTCTTAATTAATTAGAAATCGTTAACCTTATCGCCATTAAATGGTTAATCTAAAGTTCTCAATTATGCATATAAATCTTATATATATATAACTTAGGGTATCAAAGTCTCGTTGAGCACCTGACTAATCTTTAAGGGTGTGTGTAGACCCTCTTATCAGAACACATCGGGACAAATTGAGGGCATGTTTAGTTTACTGATTTGAGTTTTTAATTTGAGTTGAGATATGATTTTATTCGAGAGTTTTTTACTGTACCAAAAAAATTAAATATAACTGTTTCTGAGAATTTTTTACTGTAATAAAATTTAAATTTAAATTAGTAAAATAAACGGAGATACCAAGAGAAAACGAACCCAAGACCTCCCAGTTGTAGGATGAGGTCTTGAGCCACTTAAGACAAACGACAAGATTTAATGATGTTCCCTATAATTTTACTTTTTGTTGTAAAGGGAATATCATGATGTCCTTTCTTTTTATTTTTTGCTAAGTGAATTTCATTAAGAAACACAAGAACAAGGCACAAAGCAACGTGAATATATATGCAGACGATTTAAACGACAACTATATATAGAGACCCATATTATGCACGGACGCATATGCATAATTATATGATGTCTCTATGGAATATCAAACAGTAATTAATAAAAATCATATTACCAAAAAATGATAGAAAATAATATGATTTTCATAACATATGTGTGTATAGAAATTTTATCTCATATTCCCAAGAATAAAATTATTTAACTGAAAAATAAGAATTTTATCAATATTTTAGAATTTGGTCCTACAATTTCAAGGACATAATAAATGAGAGAACTATAGGAATGTTTCCCTATAAAGGGGAATAAAGATTTATATCCCTCCTGCCAAACTCTTCGATTCACACATTTTCTCCCTTTAAAATCAAATGAAGTGGAACACAATCGTAAAATAAAAATGGCCGGGTACAAATTAAATAAGAGGGTTAAAAGGTACAAAAAGTAAAAAATGGTTGTTGAAAGTTAATGTTTAGTTTGGATAATTCTGATTCAATGTTTAAATTTTGATATGATGTTTTAAATTAAAATCACTCAAAAAAATAAAGCCACCTCTTTCTTAATTTTAGATAGTTTAAATCCCTAAGTTTGATTTCAGTTTCAAAATCATAATTTAAATCACTATGAATCATAATTTTAATTCTCAAATTAAAACTCTCTTGCTAAAAGCAACCTTAATTAGATGGGAGAAAGAGGGAAATAGACCAAGACATGAAATAAATTAAAATTAATAGGCCAATAGTTTACATAAGTTAATAAATAGGTCAAATTATTATTTTCGTCCATAATTAGTATGATTATGAGCCATAACTTGACAAGTTATTGTCTATAATTGTCCATAACTTGTCTGGCTATAAACCATAACTTGATAAGTTTATTTATAACTTATCTGGTTATGAACTATAACTTGATAAATTATGACCTATTAATTTTAATAACTAAAAATTACCTTATATACTTTCTTAAACTTTTCATATTGACCTATTTTCTACTATTTCCCATTATTATAGTTTGAAGAAAATAACGTGGGCCTGGACTCGAATTTTGGATCTCAGATCCGGTTCAGGCCCAAAACAAGTAGGGCGGTATCCGATTCGATTGGAGAACACATTCCAAGTGGGTCCCAGGCACTTGTGCTACTTGCAATAGGAAAGTAACTCGTCGGCTTCTAGAAAATTTTTTTTATAAAAAACAAATCGATATAAAATTAAAGAAAAATCGCACTGCGATTGTTGTCGTTCTTCTTGTTCATTCGTCCATCGTTCTAGAGAGAGAAAGAGAGAGAGAGAGGAGAGAGAGAGAGGTGTAGGGATGTCGTACTTGCTACCGCACCTGCATTCAGGATGGGCCGTAGATCAGGCCATCCTCGCCGAGGAAGAGCGTCTCGTCGTCATTCGTTTCGGTCACGACTGGGACGAGACTTGTATGCAGGTACGACAAAAATCTTTCAATCGCTTTCCCTAATTTCACCTCTCTTTTTGCCATGGATGATCTTCATATAACAACATAATCTTCTTGTAAATCTTGAATTTGCTATGTATGTGTTTAGCTGATTCTATTGATTTAATTCGGTTCCCCTTCTAGAACCCTAAATTCCATTTTCTTGATGAATTTTAATAATAGAATTACTTCAAATTTTGTGATATTATTCTTCTTTCTTTTCCTTTCTTTCTTTCAGTGGAGTGCGAATTGATAAACTTTCGTTGTTTGTGTGCAATTTGGTTCCAAGATGTTTCACTTTTCTCTCTGTTTTTGGATATTTTTGCATTTGTATCATTAGAGTTATTCCATCAAATTAAATAAACTTGTATGAGCACAAAGAAGTGTAATTGTTGTTATGCTGATGAAGGGTACTTGAATTTTTCTCCAAATTGCATGCTTTAGGCTTTAGTTTGGGATTCTTGTGCTTTCAAAAGAAGTTTTACTTATAGCGAAAGGGGAAGAAGCAAACGTTAAAATCCTAGTCTTTTCAAATGGCCTTGGAAGTGCATTTGGTATTTGTGCAAAGTTGGTTTGGACATGTTCACTGAACAGAGTGTACTTATCGATTCGTAATTCGTACTATGTGCAAAGTACTTTGGGAATCTCCAGAAGCAATACCAAACTGACCCTATTCCTAATGTGTTGGTATATGAATTGATTAGAGTTCTTTCCTCTAATCTTAAATTATTGTCGAAGTTCATGCGTGTCTGCATTTTGGAATGTTGTAATTCTTTATTCTGAATGAGTTGAACGAGCTAAAACTTAAGAAACTGCTTGAAATGGTGATAGTTGCTCGACGGTTTACCCCATTTTGAAATTTTGGAGAAGAAAACCGTCTTGAGGTTTGAAAATGTTTGAAAGGCTGTAGATTAAACACTGGCTCATGGTTTATGATTTAAAATGGAAGCAAATGTTAATCTTGTGTATAAAGTTTGCTCTTACATAATCGTCTTTCTTTATAGCCATACAAGACAGCACTGCCTCTTAACTATATATATATATATATATATATATATGTATATATTGTGTTTTCCTTTTTAACAGTCTTTGTGAATATGTTTTCAGTTTCATCTTATCTGATAGACGGTGTGTTTGCTTTTTTTAGATGGATGAAGTTCTGGCGTCAGTTGCGGAGACAATCAAAAACTTTGCTGTGCTATACCTGGTTGACATCACAGAGGTCCCTGATTTCAACACCATGTACGAGTTGTACGACCCATCAACCGTCATGTTCTTCTTCAGGAACAAACACATCATGATTGATCTTGGCACAGGAAACAACAACAAGATCAACTGGGCTCTCAAGGACAAACAAGAGTTCATTGACATTGTTGAGACAGTCTATCGTGGGGCAAGGAAGGGACGTGGTCTTGTGATTGCTCCCAAGGATTACTCCACCAAGTACCGCTACTAATTTCTTGTGCGAAGTTGTAGGTGATTAAGATCTTTCAAGAGTAATTTCTGCAACTTGGATGCAAGATATTACTTTAGTTTGCTGTAACTGCATTGTTTGAGAATCTTATAATTGTTGTGGAATCCTAAAACATTTTGGACATGTGTACCTGCAAGATATTAAAGAAGGGAAAGTAGTGTACAAGTTTCTCTTATATGCATATTAGAACTTATTTTCACATGCTTTGATCACGTTTATGTTTCTTATTCCATTGCGATTGTTCTTCATCTCAATGATCGATAGTCTTCAAATAAATTGGCTGAAATACAGTAAGTACAAGGCTTTCTAAACCAGTTTTATTCTTGATTTAAGAGTCAAGCTTAAACTGCAGGTAATTGAAGGGCTCTCTATTTTGTCAGGATGTTAGTTTCCGTCCATAATTGTGGATGTAGTGTTTGAATGTTCAAAGGGTAGGGTAATGTTAGGGCTTTTGAAGTGGTAGAGTTATAGGTCCCGTTTATTTTATCGATTCGAGTTTTCAATTTTAATTTTGTTGCAGTGAAAAACTCTCATAAAAAGTCATATCTAATTTTTTTTTGTTACAGTAAAAAGTTTTGACATAAAATTACATCTCAACTCAGATTAAAAATTCGAATCAACAAATTGAATGAGGCAAGCTTGGTTGCAATCAAGTGGTATGCGCTTTTTTTTTTTTTTTTTTTTTTTCAGACTACATTGAGCTTGTTACTAGAGAAGTCTTGTCAATGAAGTCGACGGTTGAGCTGGGTGTCAAAAATCTAGGATTAAAGAGACAAGGATCAGATATTCTACGGAGAAATCAAGATTGGATTATCAAGGGATAAGTCCAAATCTAAGATAAATCCAGCATTTATAAATTTAATGTGATTTTTCTACAATAGTGTAAAGAGGGTAATTCAAACCACCGAGAAACTCTAAATGCAATATGTGCATGTCTCGTTCGTTTCGCTGATTTGAGTTTAGAATTTGAGTTTTGCTACAGTAAAAAGCTATCACAAACAATCACATCTAATTTTTTTGCTACAGTAAAAAGCTCTCACAAACAATCACATCTCAACTCGAATTCTAAACTCGAATCAGCGAAACGAACGAGGCTAACTCTCTTTGTAATCTCTTTTCTCTCATAATCAAAGTGGACGCAAATCCTACGTTTGCAAAAAGCTCCCGTATCTCCTTCATCATTCTACTACTTGCCACTTGTGAGATCAAATTCTGATAAGTCATAAGAGAGTTTAGCCCGGATACTAAATGATATGAAATCTGAGACCTCGTTCATTTCACCGATTTGAGTTTTTAATTTCAATTTTTTTACAATTAAAAGCTTTCACAAAAAGTCACATTTAACTTTTTTTTTTACAATAAAAAGTTCAAATAAAATCACATCTCAGCTTAAATTGAAAACCTGAATTAACGAATTAAACGAGGCCTGAGTGATATCTAGAACAACTGAAATGACCAAGCTTTCTCATACAAAATCCAAGCCTGCAAAATTGTGTTTGTAAGCGTTCAAATTTTGAGTGAAAATGTCTGGTGTTTCTGTTCCTTGAGAAGCTTTCAAGATTGAAGTTGACATTTTCATCTCTTTTTCCATCGAAATGATGTAGCACTAAAATATCAAATGCTCCAAACTAATGAAGCATAGCTAATCAAGATATGCACAAAAACATTCACTCATGGATTCATATGCAATTTGAAAGAATCATCGATCCGAGAAAGTGAATATATATAGAGCTTAGGTAAAATAAAATAAAAGGGATAAAGCTTTCATTTTAGTATATGGTGTATTCTATGATAAATTTCAATGTTCAGAAGACTTTACTTCAGTACTTGTGTTGTTTACATTTTATTCATGTTCATAAAACTATAATTCTCAGTACTTTGCTTGTGTTTACTTCTTTCTTTCTTCAACTTCTCTGCTTCTAATGGCTTCAACAAATCCAACTGCGAATGTTCCGACGATGTACCACGTGATCCCAGTTAGTATAACCGGTAACCAAGAACTGTTTACTATCTGCAATGCTAAAGAACCGCCTACATGTTCGTCCAGCCTACCGACCGCTCCTTCTCCGTGTACTCGAACTATGGACGCTGCAATCATTGCTGTTGCCAATGGTGTAACAAAGCTTATGGGGTTCCTTTCGTTGTTCTTCGTCACGGTTCGATCTCTGTCAGTTTTTCGCTTCCGTTCTTTCGGAGGTGAGGCATCTGAAATAGTTCTCGAGTAGGAGTTGTTCTGTGTTGAGGGTGCAGGAAGAGCATGAGTTAATGGAATCCAATAGTCCTCGCGACATAAGTAGTTCTTCGACGGGGTTCGTTTGACAGGTCCTGAACCCTCTCTTTCTAGCTTCTTCCTAGCAGCAGCAGCGTCTCGGAGCTTGCCGATATCTGGTTCAGAGGGTTTATGGTTTGTTATAATCAAAGATTGATTAGAGGGCACTGTTGATCCAACTGAGTTGGGCGTTTGCCAATAAAACCAGTTGGAGATTGATCTGATTGCTTGAATTGCTGACATTCTTGCTGCTTTTTGTAGGTCTGCCTCCTGGAATTGTGATTATCATCATGGTTGTATGTGCAAAACGAAAACAAACTCAGATATTTCAGGAAATAAAACTAAACTCAGATGAGACTGCACTGTAAGTAATGTAAATTTCTTAAAAAAATATTGCCAATGTTTATATGTGGAACAGACCTTGGAATACTGTGAAGAAGCTTTCTCCCTTGCCTCTTGATACCTGATCTGAAATTTCTTCACATCCGCGAAAATGTTCGAGACACGAGCACCCGCTGCATTCCCCATGCCTACTCTTACGTTCCCCCGCGGCTGCTTTGACATTAGAAATTCCAGAGCTGCTAGGTTGGATCTCTCCACCATCCTAGGTAATGACAAAACAAATTCAAGTGTAAAATCATGTTTTGGTTCGTCCGATTTGCTGAATCACAACATACTCTACATCATGCTTACTTGAAAGTCACAACATATCAGATTCATTTGATGCATCCAACTGCCTCTATTAGCTATGGATGTGAAAGAATTGTAGTTTACCAACTATGGATGTGAGTAGTTAGTTATTTGGCTTTTTTTGTTCTAAATTTGTGATCAGACAGATCCAAGTCAAAGACAAATTATTAATCTCTCCATTTTGTGTTTTTTCTAATTTTAGTTCAATTTCAAATCTACTCATACACCGTGTTTACTCCATGTTTCGAGCCCTCAAATTGTACGGAAATGTCATACTAGATGGCAAACTATACTGTTGCTATGCTCATACATTTTTACCTTTTTTCCTTTTAGTCATGGACAGTGGCGGAGCCAGCATTTCATTTCAGTAGGGATGTATATTAAATTTTTTTTAATAAATTATCTTAGTGGGGACATATAAGAAAATAAATTTATTTTAGTGTACGAAAATGTCATACTAGATGGTAAACTATACTGTTGCTATGCTCATACATTTTTACCTTTTTTCCTTTTAGTCATGGACAGTGGCGGAGTCAGCCTTTCATTTCAGTGGGGATGTATATTAAATTTTTTTTAATAAATTATCTTAGTGGGGGCATATAAGAAAATATATTTATTTTAGTGGAGACATATATTATTTTAGTGAGAATTTTAAGTGTAAAATTTTAAAATTTTTAAAGTTAATATTTTTTAAAAAAAAATTTAAGTGAGGGCAGTAGAAGCTACCGAGCTGTACTTAAATCCGCCGGGCCATGGAGAGAGAATTTAACGGCCATGGAGAGAGAGTTTAACGAAAATGAAACTGTGTAATATTTAAAAATGGCAGAGCCTAGTTCTGCTCTTTTCAGCATGAACGCGTAAGAAATACTATTTAAAGAGAAGACCAAGGTAATCAGAATATGAGCCTACTTAAATGTCTGTTAGAATAACAGAGAGAAAAGAAACTTACGAGATGCAGTCAACTGGACAAGCTCCTATGGCGTCCTGGATTTTGAATTCAGGATCAGCCCACTGTGCAACAACCCTGGCTCTTCCATAAACCGATTCGATTGCAAAAGTCTTTTGAGCAAACAATGCACATTTCAAGCAACCGACACACTTGACTTCATCAACAAACACTGCCCGTTCTTCGTTTTCTGATCCTAACCATGCCGAGTAAATCGGTTTTCCTGTGTAACCTCGAAGTTCTGCAGTTTTTGCTTGCTCCTTCACCAATGTATTTCCATAGTCAAATTGAAGTTCCATAAAGAAACTAAACAAAATTCACAGCAACCATAAGTTTTTGTGTTAACTCAACCCAGACCCTTCATCAGTTATGAAATGGTACTTTTAAAATTTCACTTTTTTTTTTTGTTTTTTTGCTAATCAATTTATTGGTAGTGTTTAGAATTGATCCCGCTTTTGTTTTTTTACGTTTTTTGAGAAATAAAAAATGAAAACGTTTCTAAAACGACGTTTGACACAATACAGACAAAAAACAGAAATGAAAATAATTTTTTAGTTTAGTGTATAATGAGAGAGAAATAAAAAATAATTTTTTATTTTTGTTTTCTCCTCTCTCGAACAAAGAGAGAAAGAGAGACATTAATGGGTTTTTTTACACTGAAAATAATCTCTTGATAAAACTACCAAACACATTTTCAAAAATGAATTATGTCAGAGATTGAAAACGTTTTTATTTTAAAATGAGTTCCGAACGCATCCATTGTTAGTCTTTAGTCAATCTTGAAAAATCAATTGAGGCCCCATCGATACCATAACACTTTGTGATTATATCTGGCAATTATATGGTACCACAATTATGCTACAATCTTTAGTATACTTGGGAAAGAACTACTAGAAAGGTAAATTAAATTAGGAAGATTCCGTTTTTGGTTCACTACACCAATCATTATAGAAATCTGTAAGAGTTTTACATAACCAAACCTCCAAAGTAACCTTTTGGTTTGATAGATGTTGAAATTTATAACCTCAATCCATGTTTGTAATTTCTATTAATTTTAAATGTCCTCCCTAGACAATCGCTCGAGTCTCATATTACCCCCCAATTTTTTAAAATGTTATAAATGTACCCCCATGAACTGTTAAACTGTTAGAAGAAATCACCCTCCATCCAATAACTTGGATATGGAATTAGACATGTAAATTAGGAGTTTTTTATTTTGAAAATTCCTCCCTAAACCATAGCCCGCAAATTAATATATATATACCTTCACTCCAACTTTATGGCACACAAAGTTTATATTCTGAAAGTTCCTTAAAAAAATTATATTTTAGAAAAATACCAAAAGATTTTCATATTAATTGTCCACTAAAAAACAGTCAAAGGGTAAATCGAGAGAAGTCCTACAGTCCAGGAAGCAAGATTAATTTTTCAAAATGAAAAACTCGTATTATTGTCACATGTCCTTGGACAGAATTGGATGGAGGTGAAAATTTCTTGTAACAATTTAACATATTTTGAGAAAATTAGAACTTAGCCTTACTCTTAATTAATACCCTTATAATTAATATAATTACTTGATGAAAAGAAAAATTAATCAAGAGTAAACGGTAAAAATTCAGACTCTCATTTTCTCTTTAATTTACATAACATTTTAAAGTTGGAACAAAGAATTAAGACACATACCATAGTGCAGGGAGATTTTTAAAATCAATCCCTATTGTTTTTGGTGTCAGCCATTACTTACTGATAAGAACATCCACAACAGGAACTGAAAACCCAACCAACCAAATCACATAACGACAAAAACATGCACCAACCTTATCATAAGCCGAGCGATGAGATGGGTTAGAGAGAAGGGCGTAAGCTTCGTTGAGAATGATGGCCATGTCGTGCCCGGCCGGCCCGGCGATGTCGGGATGGCACCGCTTCTGGAGCGATCTGTAAGCATTTTTAATCTGAGACTGATCAGAAGAGCTATCGATGCCAAGGAGATCGTAGAGATCAAAGTCTGTGAAAGAGCTTGAAGAAGAAGAAGAAGAAGAAGCTCTTGCTCTGCATGGGACAGACTTATTATTGCCAATTCCATTGATTTTACTATATTTTCCGTGGGAATTAGCTAAGAAGTTTGAATTCAAATTTGATAGTTTTGTAATCCTTGTTGAAGCTGCGAGTGGTGTGTGGAGCGGAAGACATGGTGTAGGCATTGTTTTTGTTTCTTAGTTTTAGATTCCAAGGATGTGGGAATGGGATAAGAGAGAGAAAATAAAAAGAGTGCTTGCTTTTTGAAGTAAATGATGAGATATTTTTTTTCTTCCTCACTCATAATGATGATTAATAAGGTGTCGTGTTGAGCTACAGAAAATGACAAGAGATATTTGCGCATAGAAATTTCAAAGTGTTTGGATGCACGGTTTGGTGCTTGGTGCTTAATTTTTTTTTTCCCCCACAATAATTAAGTTATTTTTACTAGTGGCACCAAGAATTTAAACTTGTATCACTTTGACCATTGGCTTTTGCCTTTTAAGGAATTTGACTTCATTACGTTGTGTTTATTACATGCGAAGGGTTTGTTCTTATGTTGAATCCTATTCAATGTATGGTAAACTATTAGACATCCAGAAAAGCAATATAATATTTGACGCACTGTGAAACTCAATTAAATTAAACATAATAATTAACATTAATTAAACTAATATAAGGGCTCGTTTAGTTCGTTGATTCGAATTTTTAATTCGAGTTGAGATGTGACTTTATGTGAGAACTTTTTATTGTAGCAAAAAAGTTAAATGTGACTGTTTTTAAAACTTTTTACTGTAACAAAACTCAAATTCTAAACTTGAATCGGTGAAATAAACATGACTTAAATTAATATAAAATGACAAATTATCCTATTAATAAGATTAGTAAATAAATTAAAGTATTAAAAGTTACATTAAATTTAATAACATTAATTAAAAAAACATAATAATACAAATTCAACACATTTAAAAAATACATTAATAGTTCAACAAAAAAAAAAAAAATCAATACTTAGCAATTCTTTTTAGCATTTTCGTTCTTAACAAAAGTCCCCTTCTGTCCCTTCTCTTCCCTGTGCAAAAGAAGTGGGGCTGGTTCCAGCTCATGACTTCCTCAAAGTTGGTGGCTTCTAAAGGCGTCCGGCCACACGAGACGCGGCGGTGGTGATTGAACAGATCCCTTGTTCGTCTTAGCTAGGTGAACCGTCGCCTACTCTGGTTGTAGGGTCTAAATAGAAGTACCCTTGGTGGTCGATGGTGGTTGATTCAGTGCAATCAGATTGTGAGTGTAATTACACTGGCCACGGTCCCTTAGAAGCTGCAATCAAAGGTGATGAAAGTAGTAGCCCCGTTCATTTCACCAATTCAAGTTTAAAATTTGAGTTTTGTTACAGTAAAAAATTTTCAGAAACAGTCACATTAAATTTTTTTACTGCAATAAAAAACTCACATAAAGTCACATCTCAACTCGAATCAGCGAACTAAACGAGCCAATAATAATAAGGCTAGGGATGACAATGAGGTTGGACGAGTATGCTTCCTCCATCCCTGTACCCTACTTCTGTTTTGTCGCCTATACCCATTTAATTTAAAGTGGAGGTAGGGTCGGAGAACCGCTACTAGGAGAGCTATTCCCCCACCTTACTCAGTTACCTATTAAAAGTTTAAATAATTATCCTACCTCAAAGAAAATTTCATTAAATTAATTAAAAAATTGAACAACATAATTACTAATATGTCATAAAAACATAATTGAAATTTGAACATATATTAATAATTGAGGTGGGGAAGCTTTCCCCACCCCCGCCTTGCCCTTAAATTTACCTCAAGTTTAAACATTGTTTGGACTTATCAGTATCCTGCATATTTCAGTTGGGGTCGGGAGGCGTGTTTGAAGGCACTATTTGAAGGGCATTCATTCGATAATTTCGCTAATGTGGAGATTTGTTAGTCAATATATGTGGAATGATCCATGTATATGCATTGAAAAATGAAGAATGAAAAGTTGACAACCGTGAAAGTATGCTGACAAGTTCTATCAAAAAGAAAACATTTTGGATATAGAAAACGATAAATGAAACTAAGCATTTTTCATGTTATATATAATTTTTTTTTCTCCTTTCTTCTTTTAGCAGAATACTTGAACCTCAGAGTCAGAATTGTGTGCATACTGCAGAATCTGCAATCCATGCTTTAAGCATGTACAAAAAACTAGGGAGACGGATAATGAAATTATTGGATTTCTGGAGGCAAAGCACAACAAAAGAATGACTAAGCAGTCGTTCATAAGTTGCATTATGACAATGGCAATAGTAATGTTATAAATTCAAATGAACTAATTGTCTATAACGACTGCACTTTTTCAGTTGAAGGCAAAGTAGTACAAATAATGAAGAAATCAAAGTAGAAGAAAACATTACTGATAAGGATAAGCCCCATCATAGTCTGACCTGTACGTAATTATCGTGGGTGGAATCCGAGTCCAAAACGATGCAAATCCGTTCTAATACTCCATCTGAGAGTTATCATTATTATCAAAGTCATTCCTAGCGGACAGAAGATTGCTGGATCAAATGACAATGACATTGTTGAGAAAAAAAGATGCGACAACTAGCCAATAGTTAGTCGAATCATTGCATTTATGAAGAGATATGCATAACAACTTAATTTCTAGAATTTTTATTCTGAATCTAGTGGATAAAAGTGACTAATAAACCTAAGCTGCAAGAAAGGGGGGAAAAGACCTATATATGTATTCCAAAGGTGAGAAATCCAACAACTGCACCTCTTTTCTTCACAGTCGAGCATTTAAGATATTATGGGTCACTTGATCCTTTCTCTGCACATAACTAATCTTTTCTCCATTTTCCTTCCTTTTCGAGGTCAAATTTTCCGTGCTAGATTGGAAACAAAGGTAAGACAACGATTGTAACCATGAAACTAATGTGGGCTTGCGAGTAACATCATCGGATTCTGCAACTAGCGAATACAAGTCATTCAGAACCATATTCTGGCCATCTTTTGGTAGCTGCACAATCAGCTGTGCCAACAACTTCATCAAGTCTGGCAGTACCTGAAAAATAACATAAATGCCATTATCAAATCATTTTAAACCAAAATGGACACGAGAGGAAGGATTGAAACTTGAAAATCTTTTTGACTGCTTCTACTTCATCAATATTGCCAACACCTGGAAGTACTGAAATTGCAAATATTCACATTATGGATGTGCAATGCAGCCAGTTCTTTATGCGAAAAAATAAAATAAAAAATAAAAAATTTGTGGCTAATCTGCATTTTTCACAAGAGAGGATAGAACTTATTCGCATCAAAGTAAATCAATACCTGTATGTCAACCAGGGAAATAAGCCGTAGAAGCAAATCCAGAAGTTTCTTGCAAGCCTCTAACTCTCCTTGCCAATTCTTCCTCGTATGAGTCTCCTGAGCGATGTCTTCTATGCATAATTTTTTAGCTTTTTCAACAAGTGAATGGATACAATAAAATATGGCCGGGCTTCCGGCAGGAAGATGTCGAGCCAAGGCCCCAACTCCGGAAGCCATACCCTCAAAAGGAGTAATGTCAGGATATCCCTACATTCACATCAAAGAAAGCTTTTAGCATCAGATTATGAGATAAAGAATAAGAAGAGAAAAAAGAAAAAAAAACCTATACCATTAATGATCTTTGCATTTTTTCCTCTTGATCAGAATTCTTCCCCGAAGATACGAATGAGACAAACAGAGAATGCGAGGCTCGAGCCACTTTTCCATTGGGATGTCCCAAATATCTGATTGCGTTGTGATAAGGAAGTAAAATATCGACTATATGCAAATAAAGTATTTCCATCAAGACCGAGTCTTTTGTAAAGGATACAAGAACATAGTTGGAGCAACTGCCTTCCCGAATACAGGGCTAGGCAAACGCTCAATGCAAGTAGCAATTACTCGCAGGTAGAAAAGAATCCGTGCAGTTTGAACCTCATCTTTGCACCATATGTACTCCGTTTTACGCTGGAGAGTGAGGTCTGTAAGATTATCCGCACATGTTAATAAGGACATAGAAATTATATAGTCAAGACATAATATAAAAACGAAGATGAGTGAACCGTAAATAGGAAAAGAAAACAAATTGAGAAACTTAATATGGGTAGACAAATATAAAGATGTCACATGAAATTTATAACTACTTTGACAAAGAACATACCAGGACCCTTTGTTAAATCAATGTAAGTGGGCATGGATTCTACAAATGAGACACAAGCAGAATCATTCTCTTGAATGCTTACAACAACAACTCGAATTGTATCCATATACTCAGGCAAACGGATGCGTCGGAAGTACTCCAAACAAGAAAATGCAACCAGTATTTGAACCGATAAGTCCATTTTAGTTTCCTCGTTCAATTTTGAGTTAAATTTGTGTTTCGTGACTGCCAATGCAAAAACTACAACCATAAGGAAAGCAGATTCAGCAATTCTCTCCAAATCCACAAGTAACTCATCCTTTTCACCTCGAAGTGCCAAAGCCACTTTTCGATGCTCTGCATAAATATGATGACAGTAATTCCACATAAGATTCTCGACTATATTTTGGCTCTCTTCATTCGCTGAGACATACTGATTGCACAGAACACTAGTTATGGTCCCAGCTTCCTTAAAAGGGACACTTTCCAGGTGTTGTTTAAGCTCCTTATGCAATAGTCCACCTGAATTGACATGCAAGGATTCAAGCACTTTTGCATAAAACTGTCTTAATGGACAGATTTCAGTCAATAACGCAGAAGCAAGGCATATAAAAAAAGGAGAACGAGGAGACACTGGTCCACATCGTGCCAACGCCAATGAGAGACACTGTAGGCAAAGGCTGACTGTAAGATCTTTTCCTGAATTGGCAAAATCACTTGGTACGGAAATCAAAGACCTCGCCACAGACTCGATCCGATCCTCTGCAGAAATTCTTAGCCTTGATAGTATATCCATCCGCTGGCCACTGGCTGCAGACTTATTCAAAGCCCTCAATACTCCAGCTGCAGCCATAACAAGAGCAAATGGAACATATTTTTCCTTCATGGCTTCCAAAGCCTCACGGGAAAAAACAGTAACATTATCCAGTGAGCGAAAATCAAACAAATGAGACATTACCCACTCAACCAGATGCAGAATCATAAGGCCATGAGAAAGACTGCCTCGAGGCCCATCTACCTCACCCCAAACTCCCAACAAAAATGCCAAAGTTCTGACATAATGAAAACTCAAAGAAGAAGATAGAGCATACCCAATTCCTGCTAGCACATCAGGAACAATCCCTTCAAATGAGCCCATAAGTGCATACTTCTCTTCCAACAGCCTGCACAATAACTCCAAACAAACTCTTTTGGAGCTTTCAGACACCGAGCGCACAAAAGCAAGAGAACCCAAAAGCAACACGGCTTCTGAAAACAGGTAAGGGCTATTGTTATGATCAAATAAAGCAGATAAATTATGAGAAATTATCTCCACAGCGGAATCGATGAGAGCTGAAGAGGGTCTTGTCGATTTCCTGACCCATATGTAGAGAAGCCTAAGCAAAAGAGGGTAGGATTCATGAGGGAGGGAGAGTTTTGGAGAGGAAACAATAGAAAGGACAAGCTTTGCTTGTGGATCCGCAACATGAAGTGAAGCTTGAGAGCTAACAAGGGACTTCAAAGCTTGGAGGTGGTGGGAATGGAATGACTCGTTTTTCAAGGAGTCTCTAAGCTCAGCCCATGATTGAATGATTCCTCTAGCTGATGAAGCTATGGAGTTTTTGGAGCTAAAAGTATTACTACTACCATACCCACTAATACCCTTTAGCCAATCCTCAAGAAAAACGGCATTAACATGTTTTGCCATTTTAATCCAATATCCAAATTTCACTTCATAAATCCCAAATTCTATGCCACAACCAAAAGAAACGTTCCACTAATCAGAAAACTGTGCACACGAATAAATGAAACTTTCCCAACTTACAAAAAGTTCAAAATCCAGTAAATAAAGCCACCAATCAAGAAATTATATGCCACAACCAAGCAGAGACCACCATTAATCGCCAAACTGAACACACAAAAGCAAGGAAAATTTCCAGTAAATAAAGCCACCAATCAAGACATTCTATTAGGAAAGCTTTAATAATTATCCATAAACGTCAAAAAATATTGGAACTAGTCATATTCATTGGGTTTTTTTTTTTTTTTTTTTTTTCAATATGGAAATGTCGGATTAAGATCGTTCATGAGAGAAAACACTACCTCAAAATTTTAAGAGCTCTACAACATTTCTCCTTGCTCCAAAAAGTTCCGTTGCAGAAATTGGCCTTCTACTCAGGGGAAAGCTCGGTGGTGAAGCCCCGGAAATAAAGCGTTGGTTGTGCTTCCACAAAGAGGAGGAGAAAAGATCGACCAGAGGGAGTGGAAAGGGAAAAGAATAAAAGAAAAGAGAGAGATTAAGAAGAGGAGGAAATTAAGGGGCTAAATTACAATTTTCAGAACAATTGCACAATTTTCATTTCTAGAAATATAGGAGCTGTTTGCCGGATGGATTCAAACCGGCTCTAAAATGGTTCAAACAGCACCTTACATACAAGCCTATTAATAGAGGTGTCAAACGTGCCGTGCCGGCCGGTACGGCACGTCCAACACCAGGCCTGTGACAGGTCAGGCACGGCCCTAGACAGTGCAAAACCGTACTTGAGCCGGGCCTGAAGAGAAAAACTCAGGCTCGGTCTAGGCCTGCGGCCTTAGTCCATAAGGGTCAGGGCCGGGCCTGGGCCCAGGCCCTTCACGGGCCGGCCCAACAAATTTATTTTGCCACCATATTTTCAAAACTCTCAGGGTGTGTTTGGTTGAGGGGAATGGAAATGAATCAAGGTTCATTCTCATGTTTAGTTGGTTTTAGGAAAAGGAATGGCCATTCAAAATGGAATGACTTTTCCATCAAATGGGTAAATCATCATTCTTTTCTCATATGAGAGGAATGCCCATTACAAGTTCTTTTAATTTTCATTTCCATCATTACCCTTGAATATTATAATTATTATATTAATATTTATAATATAATTAATATTATATTATAATAATTTATATAATATAATTATATCTTATAACATATAATATAATATATTATAATTATATACATACATTATAATATATCATATTTAATATTATAATAATATCTTATATTACGTATTATACATTGTAATTATATTTATTAATATAATATACAATATAATTGTGATATTGTAATTAATAATAATTATATTTATCATTATAAGATAATATAATATAATATACAATTGTGATGTTGTAATTAATAATACTTATTATAATTATATTTATCATTATAATATACTATAATATAATATAGTTGTGATATTGTAATTAATAATTATAATAATAATAATTAGGATAGTAGTATTTTTTAGAAAATTAAATATAATAATTATATATTTTATAAATAATATTATATAATTTTATTTTATTTTATTTTATTTTATAAGATATAGATGTGATGTTTTC